AATCGTTTAGCTTTACGGCTAGGACAATACTTCAGCTTTACATCAAGGCAGTCTCACTTCACCTTTACGGCTAGGACAATACTTCAGCTTTATGGCTAGGACAAACCTTCAGCTTTACAGCTGGAACCGTCCTTCTTCCTTACGGCTAGGACAATACTTAAGCTTTATGGCTAATACAGTCCTCATCTTTACGGCTAGGACAATCCTTCAGCTTTATGGCTAGGACAATCCTGCTTTACAGCTGGGTCAATCCTTCATCTTTACGACTAGGACAATCCTGCAGCTTGACAGCTAGGACAAACCTTCATCTTTACAGCTGGGACAATACTTCAACTCTATTGCTAAGACAATCCTTCAGCTTTACGGCTAGGACAATCCTTCTTCGTTATGGCATGAACAATCCTTCAGCTTTACAGCTAGGACAATCCTTCATCTTTACAATTAGGACAATACTTCAGCTTTACGACGTGGACAATGCCGCATCTCTACGTCTGGGAAATCATGCTTCCTTACGGCAGAGACAATCCTTCAGCTTAAGCAAAGGACATTCCTTCTTCCTTACGACAGGGACAATTCTTCAGCTTTACATCTTGGACAATACTTCACTTTTTCGGTTACGACAATCCCACTTCTTTGCGGCAGAGACAATCCTTCAGCTTTACGGCTAGTACAATCTTTCACCTTTACATCCAGGCAGTCTCACTTCTTTACGACTGGATCAATCCCTCGACTTTACAGCCATTACAATCCTTAAGCTTTACGCTTAGAACAATCCCGCATCTTTGGGACAGTGGTCCCTAGTATGGTGTTCTACCTTTAGTTGCCTGCAATCTATAGCCTGTTTTCACATTGTCCCGTCATTTCTAATTAAAAAGTTTTAGATTTAATTACCAGTTTTAAATGGATATCTGTGATACACTAGTAGTTTTACTGTTCTTTGTCAACAGGCTTTTAATTCCTAATTTTATTGATCTATAATAGATTTATTAATTGTTCACGCCACGATATGGCTGAAATATTGCCTATGTGACCATAAATATTAACTCACACACTCACTCTTTGGGACAGTCTCGACAATACCTATGTTTTATGCCTATATTTTGTAAGACGACAAAGGTGACATAACAATTGAACAGTAATTAGTTTACAAATGCAGCCGCAGCGGTATGAACAAGGTGTCAGCCCGATCTGTCGACAAATGAAAAATAGGATGTTGCTAACCGTGGACAGAATAAAAAAAACGGAGAGTCGACATCGCGTGGTCAACATACTGTGACGGTGTTAATTAATTAAAGAGAATGCTTGCTTAGTGATTTGCAAGTGGCTATGGTGGCTACCGCTATGTTCGTATCATGAGTAAATGAATTAGGTTAATTAAAGAGAATGTCTTTTTAACAATTTGTAAGAGAATTAAGGTTGCAAAAAGGGCTAGGACATTTCGGAGTTTAACATGCAAAAACATCCGGAAAGAAACAGAGAGTGATATGGGAGGAGAAGGATTATCGAAATGCTGTTGTAAACATTTAGCATTTGGGTATATATTATAGATCATGAATATTTTGTTACCACTGTCAAAATGGCAAATGCTATGGTCCGGGTTACACTGATTGACAACATTCATGGAGGCCAGAATCTTTACCACAATGGATTCAAGTACAGAGTCAACGGACGCAGAGCTCAGACAACATACTGGAGATGTACAGATGCAACCTGTTCATCGTATCTGGTTACAGAAAACAACCTGTTGAATATGGTCGGTCAAGGTCACAACCATCCTGGTATTCCGTTTCTTACTGAAGTTGATGCGTTCAAGTCAAAGCTCCATCATCGTGCAAAGACTGACAACACTACGCCTATCCCCAGATCTAACATGAAGAAGTCAGCAACTTGAGAAAGAATCCAGCAGCTGCTCCGGACGCCCTTCTCCAACACATTCCTGTCTTTGACTCCGTGAGAACCAGCATGTATCGACAAAGACATAAGACTGTCCCTAAGCTTCCACAGACACTTGCAGACATCAATCTAGAGAATGAGTGGACAACGACTGAAGCAGGAGATGACTTTCTTCACCGACTAGATGATGGCAACATTTTGCTCTTCTTCACCAGCAAGAATATAGAGCTTCTCTCTGCAGCATATGTAATCTTTGCAGATGGTACATTCTCGTCTTCACCTCGACTGTTTGACCAAATCTACTCGATACATGCTGAATACCAAGGACACATGCTACCCCTGATATATGGACTCTTACCAAACAGAACAGAAGCGACCTACACAAGTGTGTTTGACTATATGAAACAGACTGCAGCGACTCAAGGACTTCAGCTTTCTCCTGATGTGTTTCAGTTGGACTTTGAACGTTCATCTCACAACGTGCATCTGCCAGTATTGTATTTCCAAATACTCAGCTTCGTGGCTGCTTCTTTCATTACACCCAGTGGATCTGGCGTCGCACACAGAAAGTAAGCCTTGCTTCAGAGCACAAGTCAGACAACAATATGAAAACGACTAATGCGTCGAGTTGCAGCTCTACCTTTAGTGCCACTGGATAAAGTTGAAGATGTCTGGCTTGATGCCATTGCAGACGCACCACTAGGTGAAAAGACGACACAGCTGATGGATTACGTTACTACCACCTGGGTAGAAGGTCCATGGATTCTGCCAACTTGGAATCATTTTGAAAATGATGGACACAGAACTAACAATAATTCGGAAGGTTGGCACAACAAAATCAACAAGTATGCCATGAAGACACATCCGAATGAAGTAAACATTCAGCAGATCCAAGGACAGCAGAGAGATACCATCCGTAGACGTCGCTACCGAATCATCGACGCTAGGATTCCTTGAAGGCCGACCTTCTTGCCGACAGACTTACTGACTTGAATTACACAGACCATGTGTCAGAGTTGCTTCATCTTGGCTGAACATTCAGATTACTTTAGTGCAGATATAAAGGAGTTTTGGCAAGAAGAAATAACTGGACTCATCTTTTATATATTTATTACTTTTTCACCAGCAGAAATCACTTATTTATATAAAACAGACACACAAGTATATATATACTATATATACAAATATGTTATATTGTGTGACATATGATACATACATGCTGTTATATTGACTAAATAAATGTATTGTCTACTATATATCCCACTCTGTTTTTAGTTGGTTTGTTAATCTCGAGAACACTGGGAGTGAAGTCACTCATGTAGAACATCACCTCCCTTTCCCCGGACTGTCGACAAGTAATTTGGACGGATTATTTCTTGTTGTCGACAGTCCGGGTATTAACCACGAACAACATGAACCTTTGTCGTACGTCGATTTGCGGTTCGCCTCGCTTCCTGTGACCTGGACTAATAGAAGAGCAAGCGGTAACTGCCATTTGAAAATAGCGAATGCTGAAAGGCAAATTCGACGCCATTATTGCCATGGTTGTCCAGCATCATAAACACTGTTCTAGGATATGAATTGTACGGACTGAACATAATATATTTTAGGTTAGGCTGGTGGTAGCGGGAAAATTATCAAGGTTTTTTAATTATGCCACAATTTTAAACACATAATGTTCGCTATGGCTACTTCCATGTCGTGTTCTGTTTCAAAAACAGTTCATATTGTAACTGAAAAACATATATTCCGTTTTACGAAAGAACAAAACCTCAACAGCGTAACTGCTGCATGCCCACAAAAGATTCACTAATCTAATTAGGACCAGACCATACAATGATTGAGTGAATGAGTGAGTAAGTTACAATTTAACGTCACATCGGCAATATTTCAGCCATAAAGTGACGAGAACAATTAATAATTATATGATAGATGAATAAAATTAGAAAATTCAAGCCTTTTGACGAACAGTAAAACTACTAGTGTATCACACATGTCTATTTAAAACTAATAATTAAATCGAAAACATTTTAACTAGAAATGACAAGACAATGTAAAACAGGCTATAGAGTGCCAACAACTGAAGGTAGATCACCATACTAGGGACCATGGGGACTTACAGTACATTTGCTTCCTGCACACATTGAAATGACATTCAATAATATTAAAACAAGAAAGGCCACCTAACTGGGGATGATGAGGACTTACAGCACTTCGGCTCCCTGCAGAACCGTCACTACAGCCACTGATAGTTGTAAACAGTGCTAGTCATAAATTAAAACAATACAACTGAAGCGATACTATTCTGTAACAGTTGTCTGCAATGGACTATGATACTATTATGGGTAACATGCAATCATCAGGTGACAATCCTTCTACAATATAGTGATTGATGTCATGAAGGTCGATCTCCACATACTGGACACGATGACATGTATCAGTCAAGTCAACGAGCCTGGGCCTAGATTTTCGAAGCTCTCTTAGCGCTAAGATAGTCGTAAGTGCCATACATTAATATTAACTTACGACTATCTTAGCGCTAAGAGAGCTTCGAAAATCTAGGCCCTGACCACCAGATCCCGTTAGTCGCCTCTTACGACAAGACTAATCCTAACACGGATCTTCACAGATATTTGGGGTTTTAAGCAGAAGCCATTGTCCAATCAGTGATTAAACGCGAAAAGCTGCAGCGTTTGTTGCTGTGAAGTAAAGTAACGTTTTCTAACACTGAATATAAACGATCGTTTAACATTTACATGCTGAAAAAAGAAACTCAAACTTATCTCAAAAGATAACATTCATATAACTACATACCGCAAATACCGTTATTTATCGTTTAACCTTTCTACACATTTAAGAGCTGTTTTAGCACAATTTAGGTGTAGTAATTTTAAAATAGCTGTAGAAACTGGGCGTTATAACAACACTGATTATAATCAAAGATTTTGTACATCATGTAAATCTAAAGGTCTTACCTATATTGAAGATGAATTTCATGTACTGTTCATTTGTGAATCCTATTCACAACTAAGAGAGGTTTATTACAAAATGTGTTAAAAAGCCTTATACTGTATATTCTTCAGCAAATCTTTTCAAGAATACTAATGTAGACACTGTAAAATCTGTTGCCTTGTATCTATTTTATGTTAAAAGGATTATTACAAACACACTTGAATGATCATTGTGCCCCTGACTACACTGGAACTTCCTTTTGAATGTATTTTGGGCCTACGGCCTTTTACTGGAAATATACTCTGCTCTCTGTCTCTGTCTCTGTCTCTGTCTCTGTCTCTGTCATACCGCAAATGTAATTATATAAGATTAAAAGACACATTCCTTGAACAACTAAGCATCAACACGTACATGTAAGGCCCTGTTCCAGCTTCTCAACCCAGTGCACTAAAAGAAAATAAATGGGTGCAAAAGGATTACGTGGTGGCGCGTACAACGTGAGATTTGTCAGTACAACACTATGTTAAGGATAAAGCGTCAGGGGCCGTAGACAAGCGCCATATTAATGGTACTTCTGATGGCTTTGATAAGGGCATATCGACAAGAACGTATAGGACATTTAGGCGACAAAAATAGATCATTTAGGAGTACAAACTTGGTTAGTTCCTAGGTCTTTCATTGGTACATAGGGGTTTTTCATGTCTATAGGGAGAACAATCAGATGTCATCGCACCCACATGTACCATTCATGTAAGTAGAGAAACAGACAGACATCGGAATGTGCGTCCTTGGAAGTGTAACAATCAGGCATCTATGTGTTCAGGATGGCAGCACAACTGAACGTTCATGTGCTTATCGGGTTGTCAGCTTACTCCTACATCATTGAGCATATCAGGGTGCCAGCACATTCAGATATCTGTGTGCAGGAAGGACAATCTGATATCGATATGTTTATTATTATAATTCCTCTCTTTGCACTCCTCCCTCGTACTGACCGCCTCCGTGGTGTAGTGGTTAGAGCGTCCGCCCGAAGAGCGGAAGGTCGCGGGTTCGATCCCCGACCGCGTCATACCAAAAGACGTTAAAATATGGTACTCGTTGGTCCCTGCCTGGCGCTCGGCATTAATGGGTACAACAAGGACTGGTCGGCTCGGAGTCAGTACAATGTGTCTGAGTGGGGTATTCATGTTACACTGCGGCATGGTATCTCAGTGGGCTAGCACTAGAAAACCAGCTTCAGTCTGGGCTAGTACAAGCAGCTGCACAAACACATACACACGCATGCACGTCGTCATATGAGCGAAATATTCTCAAGCACGACGTTAAACCCAATTTCACCTCACCTCACCTCCTTCGTACCAAATAGTGAATTGTGTCAATATTTCCACGATACGTTGTTAAACAACTTTTTAGGACATAGATTCTGAAAACAAATACAGAGTTGATCTGATGTTTTGATTATAATCAGCGTTTCTTTGAGTATTTCATGTTTATTAGTTATGTCATGCCACACCATGACACTTCCTCCATCGAATCTGTCGATCTGGTCATTTCTCAGACGGTAAACGCGCTATATTCCATCTCACCGGTGAAAAAGAAATCCATCACTGAACCACACTCGCCTCCAGTCTCTCCAGGTTCCAGTTCCGGACTGTACGAGCGAGCGATTGCGCCTATGGAAGTCTCTCAAAACAGGGGCGATAACTGTCCATCTTGGTCGAATTCCCACTTCACGCAATCGATTCCTGACAGTTCAGTCGGAAATTCTTAAAAAGGATGCGTTTTGCAGTCTCCACGGCTGTGGCAAGATTCTGACGCAAGTGAGCAGCCCGGATGTAGCGGTCCTGGGCTTGGGCGGTAACTCTTGGACGGCCGCTTCTCGGGTGATCTTGGGCGGAATTGGTCTGCAGGAAACGATCCCAAAGGCGAGATATGGTGCTCTGGTGAACGTTGAAATGTCGGGCAACTGCAGACTGCGACTCCCCACCTTCAAGGCGGCCTATGGCGATGTTTCGATTGGCGGCACTCAGTCATGGCATGATGATTTCCTCTTTTCCATGTAGAAACGAATGACACAAAAAACATAACGTTTGCCTCTTTATAGTGATCGATACCGTATGCTTTTCCGCTTACTTACACGTGCATTTTGCTTAGCATGTTTCCTTGGTGACGTTTTTTCCTTCTTCAAACGCTTCTAAAATAAGGGAAAAAGTTCAAATTGCCGCATATTGACACTGAAGCTGTTCACAATCACACAAAGATGACGTCTTTTGCTGCAGCTACAAGGGTCCAATATTCTCAAATTCACCTTTCTTTTTTTCGGAAGAGTGTAATTCAAGAACCATGTTTATATCCCAATCAGCAACAGGGAGATACAACCACTGCACAGAACGATTTTTATTCATCAATTATTCCAGAGTGACATGCTGATGGTATAACAGAGCACAGCTCTCTTTCTTACCGCGTTGCTTCGCCATACATAATTGACATTCAACTGCATAACCAATGCTTAGAAAGCAAATACATTCTACAACATGATGCCGACGCGGAGACACAAAGGAGACGAATGCTGTGAAATCCTGCAGTAATAGTTCTAATGAGTCTCTGGAGTGATGTGCATCTGTTATGCACCACAAAACCTTCTTTTTTCACCATACTGCACCATCTGAGCGTTCAACGTCTTTGGGAAGCAGTGCTTTGCCGCATCCCGATGGGAACAACAACAGAATTAACCCGTATATTGCACCGATGAAAGCTCATTGGGGATTGAATATGCTTTGTCGCTCTTACGATTAACGATGAGATGAAAAGAACATCACACGTTTGAAAAAACGTTTTGTCTGGATCCGCCTAATGCCCATAAGTGGTGTTTCTGTTGTAACCTATTGGAAACAATAGGTGTTTTGTAAGCTTTATAAAGATGACAGTCTGTAGTGAGTCACATTCTGTTGGAATGCGATATGCTTTTAGAGTTATATCACTGTTTGGGCAAATTTGTAAAAGTAGTTATCGACATAAGATGAATGTATGATCATTACACTATTTAAGTAGACACCGTTTGGGGATGACAATAAATGAGGCAATATAACGAGTGAAATCATGGCAGCATCAATCCACATAAACTACAGATTATATATGGGTATCATACACGAGTAATCCGAATATTGCCACCGTTGATTGTTCTGAAAAGGGCATGAATCCGAGCGTGAATCTCAAATAGACCTTGATCACATTTGCTACGAGCGTCGTACGATACAGTAATCTACGATTTTCCGTAAGATGTTTTACGTGGGCTACGACGTTTGTATTCACATTGTCTACGGGCATCGTGCGATTTCCTTGGGGACAGACCGAGGCAAACCTGCATGGATGCTGCACAGAAATTGTACAGAGATCTTCCGGAGATCGTACGGAAATCGTGCGGTATCCGTACGGTCTCCGCAGCTACTGCACGGTGACCGTGCGGCGTTCGTGCGGAGGCTGAGCGGAGATCGATTGTCTATACTCAGGCAACTAGTTAAATCACGACAGTCTGTACTCAATCATCTATACTTAAATCACGAATGTCTATACGCAGGCAACTAGTCAAATCACGACAGTCTGTACTCAATCATCTATAGTTAAATCACGACTGTCTATACTCAGGTAACTAGTCAAATCACGACAGTCTGTACTCAATCATCTATAGTTATAGTCTGTCTCACAGTCCCTGAACCACATTAATTTCCCTACTGCCAAGCCCTCTCTGCAGTCTACTATAGTTAAATCACGACTGTCTATACTCAGGCAACTACTCAAATCACGATTGTCTAAACTCAGGCAACTAGTCAAATCACAACTGTCTATACTCAGGCAACTAGTCAAATCACGACTGTCTATACTCAGGCAACTAGTCAAATCACGACTGTCTATACTCAGGCAACTAGTCAAATCACGATTGTCTTTACTCCAACTGTCTATACTAGTCAAATCACGATTGTCTATACTCAGGCAACTAGACAAATCATGACTGTCTATACTCAGGCAACTAGTCAAATCACGACTGTCTATACTCAGGCAACTAGTCAAATCACGACTGTCTATACTCAGGCAACTAGTCAAATCACAACTGTCTATACTCAGGCAACTAGTCAAATCACGACTGTCTTTACTCAGGCAACTAGTCAAATCACGACTGTCTATACTCAGGCAACTAGACAAATCATGACTGTCTATACTCAGGCAACTAGTCAAATCACGATTGTCTACCCTCAATCATCTATAGTCAAATCACGACTGTCTATACTCAGGCAACTAGTCAAATCATGATTGTCTACACTCAGTCATCTATAGTCAAATCACGACTGTCTATACTCAGGCAACTAGTCAAATCATGATTGTCTACACTCAGTCATCTATAGTCAAATCACGACTGTCTATACTCAGGCAACTAGTCAAATCACAACTGTCTATACTCAGGCAACTAGTCAAATCACGACTGTCTATACTCAGGCAACTAGTCAAATCACAACTGTCTATACTCAGGCAACTAGTCAAATCACACGTCTATGTCTCAAATACTCAGTCATACTAGTCAAAGTCAAATCACAACTGTCTATACTCAGGCAACTACTCAAATCACGACTGTCTATACTCAGGCAACTAGTCAAATCACGACAGTCTATACTCAATCATCTATAGTCAAATCACGACTGTCTATACTCAGGCAACTAGTCATATCATGACTGTCTATACTCAGGCAACTAGTCAAATCACGATTGTCTTTACTCAGGCAACTAGTCAAATCACGACTGTCTATACTCAGGCAACTAGACAAATCACGACTGTCTATACTCAGGCAACTAGTCAAATCACGATTGTCTACCCTCAATTATCTATAGTTAAATCCCGACTGTCTATACTCAGGCAACTAGTCAAATCATGATTGTCTACACTCAGTCATCTATAGTCAAATCACGACTGTCTATACTCAGGCAACTAGTCATATCATGACTGTCTATACTCAGGCAACTAGTCAAATCATGATTGTCTACACTCAGTCATCTATAGTCAAATCACGATTGTCTATACTCAGGCAACTAGTCAAATCACGACTGTCTATACTCAGGCAACTAGTCAAATCACGACTGTCTATACTCAGGCAACTAGTCAAATCACGACTGTCTATACTCAGGCAACTAGTCAAATCACGACTGTCTATACTCAGGCAACTAGTCAAATCGATTGTCTATACTCAATCATCTATAGTCAAATCACGACTGTCTATACTCAGGCAACTAGTCATATCATGACTGTCTATACTCAGGCAACTAGTCAA